ACTTCTAGAAACTGAAATAGTATTTGTTGGCATTTGAGACCTCAGGACACAAAAAGCCCACGTGGGTTCAGGGATTCGTGAAGAAAATTCCTGCATATTTGATCAAGGAGTGAGATAAAAGGTGGAAAAAGTGGATCCCACTAAGCACAAAGTTTACAAAGACGAAAATTCTTACTTGCCTTCAAAAGGTATTATGGCAGCAAAGTGTTGCAGCTGAAAGGATTAATTTCCAAATGAGAAGTACTGAGATTTTCATGGATAGAGAGGAAGGAGAGAATTTTTTGCCTTTGAAGGATCTAAACACACATAGAATCACAGAATGGTTTGGATTGGAAACGACCTTCAAGATCATCTTGTTCCAACCTCTTGCCATGGGCAGAGACACCTTCCACTATCCCAGGTCCAGCCTGGCCTTGGGTGCTTCCAGGGACAGGGCAGTCACAGCTTCTCTGGCCAACCTCAGGCCTCACCATCCTCACAGTAAGGAATTTTTTGTTGATATCTAAATTAATATTAATCTAAACCTGCTCTCTGTCAATCTGGCAGGTATCTTCTGTCCAGAATTGTCTTTGGAAACTGGAGAATGCAGAATGTCTCCGAGGAAATCTATGAACTTAGACTTTTGAAGCAGGAGATTTTCCTTTATTCTCTGAAGCTGAAAGGTACACAGGGAGGTTTTAGAGCAGATGGACTCATGAACTGGTGTCATTTGAAAGGAAATGCTGCTACCTAGGAAGAAATATGTTCTCCTTTGTGTCTGAGGAGCAGCAGCAGCATTTCTGCTTCAATCAAAACACTGAAGTCCTGACTTTAAAGGAGTCACTGGAACAAGGGGAGATCTGGCCACACAGCAATACCTGCAGGCTCATCTTTAAGGTATTCTTTGGAAATCTATTGCAGCTGACCCAAGGGGCAGCAGGGCTTCGTGCTGCTGTTAACACTGAATTGGTTCTTAACTGTGGAATATTTTAGGAGAGCTTATCCAACTGTTGGATATCTCCTTCTGAAATAGAAAGCATTCAAAAGTCAGCCTCCTCCAAACAGCCTGTGCTTGAAAACGCCTTTATTCCTGGCTTCTGGAAAATGTAGTGCACAGCACATGAGCAACGTTTGCTACATTTGCTCGTGTCTGTATTAAGCACATTTGATGGAAGGTTTGTGTAGGACGTTTCACGTTTGCCTGGAATATTAATGCCAAACCAAAAGTCTCAACAAATACTAAGGGAGCGCATTTACGTACCAAAGAGTCCAGATGGGAAATATATTTCAGAACTTGTCCTTGCAATAGCCGGGAGGCGAGAGAGGAGATTCCAGCCGAGGCTCGGGCAGCGCCCCGTGCAGTTCCAGCGCTGGCCGCCCAGTGGCGCTCTCGGCCAGCGCTGGGCGCGCGTTGCTGCTGCGGGGCGGGGCGGGGGACACCGGCGAGCAGCGCTGGGATGCTGCGGGGCTGGCACCGGCTGAGAGCCCCGAGAAACGCCCCGGCTGCTCCGGAATGCGCCCTGGTTTAAAGCCTTTCCAAAGGATGTGCTGGGAATCGCCGCATCGAGACGTGCCTGGAAAATCCAGGAGCACAAGGTGAAACAGGGAGTGTGAAGGACGGAGACGGCCTCCCAGGGCCATCCCTGCGGGATCTGGGAGGATTTCACCGGAGGTCTGGGGTAGCTCAGAGCCGGCTAAGCACCGAGTTACTACCGAAAGAAATAAATGTTTGCTTTTAACAGACTGATGGGGAAAGCACTCGCTGGACTGAGTGCAGACGGAGGGAGGAGGCTGCCGTACATCCCGGAAAATGAGCCTCAGAACAAGTACCCGTGGTATTTACAGCACAACCGAGAGCCAGAAGGTTAGGAATGGTTCTCCCAGCTTTCCTCACGTTTGCAGGCAGCTGAGAGCTCCGGCCCCGATTCCGCGGGATGGCTGGGAATTCGGAGTGCAGCCTGATTGTTACAGAGACGAAAGAAGAAATCCATCCTGGGAGCTGTCATGGAAGGAGAGGTCGGGAGTGTTGGTCCGTCCTTGCACTCAGGCGTGGAAAACGCCGGGACTCTGGGAAGATCTGTTCCTCTGCTCTGCGTGCTCCTCCCGCGCCATCCTATCCTGAGGGCGTGCTGGAGGGGAGCGGACAGTGCCTCCAGGGATGGAGAAGAAGCCTTTATCCCAGGGGACCACAAAACCGGGCATGGGACCGCTGAGATTTCATCCAGCGGTTCTGAATTCCCAGGTGAAAAACCAAGAAGGATTTTGGAAATTGAAATTGCTCAGGCTTCAGAAGTGCAGGCAGAATTTTCTTTTAGCACCTCTGTGTTCAGAAACACGGAGCCACACCAGGAACTGAGTGGGATATGCTGCTGTAATGCTTTTCGAGCATAAAGTTTTAAGTGACAGAGTGAAGAGAACTAGTTTTTTGGTTCTTCTTAGGATAAAGATGTCATCAGTAAAACAAAGCCTGCAATATCACTGTATACCCGAGAAGATATGTGAATTCTTTGGCACGTTTATGAAAATCTTTCATGTTATGGGTATAGTTCCTTCTTTTGTCCTATAATACAGTATGCCTCTATCTGGCAGTATTTAAACTTCTATTTTTAAAATTAATACCCATCCGTTTCACTGTTGTGACCCAAGGGAAAACACCAGCATTAGCTCTATAGTGCTGCACGGTAAGTGACCCTCTTTATCATTTCTCTAAAATCTGAAAAAATATAAAGGTTCGTCAGTGGAAAAGCATCATCTTCTGATGAACGAAGATGTTGCTACAGCCAAGAGCTCCGTTGAGGATCACTGGTCGTCTTACACCCTTCTACATCTGAAGGGTAAGGACACAATTTCCTTTCTGAAATGATGGCAGCAACAATAATTGGGCTCCTGCACTCAGGGGTAGGAAATATCTGTGGAAGCTCTTCTAGGCCTGTGTCTTTCCACCTGCTGCGCAGTGATGCTAAAGATTAGGATAAGGAGAAGGAAATACACATTTCCCCCTCGGAAGTGAAAAAAAGGGCACAAAGCAAGTGTATTACAGGTGTCAGAGTTGTTTTTGCGTGGAAAGAAAAAGAAAAAGAAAAAGAAAAAGAAAAAGAAAAAGAAAAAGAAAAAGAAAAAGAAAAAGAAAAAGAAAAAGAAAAAGAAAAAGAAAAAGAAAGCCACTTTCCCAACACATCTGCTGCTGTGCTTGGCCTACGGTTTGACTTCTCTGTTGGTGATGATCGCAGCTCGAGAGATGGACGTGTGCCTGGAAGGGAAGAAAGGAGGAGCTGCCCTTTGATGTATGTCAGTGGTTTAGATCTTACCACGCGTCCAAGTCAATGGGTGATAAGAGGAAGTCACCGAAAATTACTTCGTTCGTGCAAGATCTTTAGTAGCTAAACGTGCCGGGAATCCTGAAACAACCCCAATTGTTATTTTCTCCTACTGATAGAGGCACGAAATTTTTACTGTAAAACAAATGAAGACATCAGAGAATTTCTAGGACTTGACCTCTTGAGTATTGTTTGACAGCGTCACTCCTTTTTAGCAAACAAAAATAAGGGGGAAACGTCTAGGAAATTAAAGAAAAGTTATCAAATCCAAGAGGATTATGATATTTTATAATAATAATTTTTAATAAGTAGTTTATTTTATAGTAAAATCCGAACTAAAAATGCTCGAGACACAGGTAAATAATGCAAATCCTATCTTGTTTTCTCCTTCTTTTTTAAATTCTGTAATAGAAAGGTTGGGCTGGGCTCGCAGGCGGCTGTGCACATCCTCAGTGCATTCGTCGCAGAGGTAAAACATTCTTCGGGGCCAGCCGTGCCTGCCTGAGCCTGAGGTTTTTGTCTGGTTTCCGGCACAAATTCTGCCTCACAGTACCCGACTGTGCTCAGAACCCCTCGATATCCCCTCCACCTCCCTTTTCCCACGGTTGTTCCTATCAGGTCTGCTGCAGACATCTCCCTCTTAGCGAGTTTGATTCTTCCTCTAATCATCTCATAATAAGCCTTGCAAATTTCTGGAGTCCCCCTCAAACACCTCGTAATCTATTCGTTCTCTTCCATGACACTTTTTCTGATAATCCGTGAGAATCTTTAGAACTATTTTCTTTTAACTTTTACAGAGTTTTTTGTTGAACCTCTGAGGTCTGAGGTTCAATTATTCTTTTAATGGCCGGTCAGTTAGTGCGATGAGAGCCTTATCTTTGCTATTGTCTCCCTTATCTCCTCGTTAGCATTTGTGTATCGCGGAGCTTTATTTAGGGGCTCCCTGTTTGTTTTCTTGCCTGTCGTATTAACCGGCTGTTGGCCATACATCCCTAGGCAGATACAGGACTTCAAGTTTAGCATCTTTTTCACATAGAAAAGTCTAAAAGCCGGGAGGTGTAATACCCAGTAAGAAAAGAACAAGCATTAGGATGATGTGTCCTAGGACAGCTTTATCATCCTGCTGAGATGGCGAGCTGTGGTGATAATGAAACTTTTACTTAGGACAATTCCTTGTCAGCTCTCATTTTCAATAACTTCTCTGACTCGCTCCACTTGCTAATAGCCCTGTGCTGATTAACAAGTGGAGATGAGAAGGAAAATCTCTTCTGTGGCAGTGGAACTTGCCGTGTCTATACAACGCAAACCAAAAGCTGTGCCTGAAGAGTTCGTGGCTGCGAGCTGGGATGTGATGCCCAGAGCAGCGCTTTGCGTGTGGGCAGGGATCCCACTTCCGAGAGAGGATAGCTTTTACACCGCACCTTTTTTCTCCTCTGGCACAAAGAGTGCGGGTTCAAGCAGCAAACCCCGAGCCAGCAGCGCTGCCCCGATTGAGAGGAAATATTCCCACTTCGGACGCTGGGTGGGGATGTTGGCCGCGGACCGGAGCGTTCCTCCGTCCGCCCCGGGTTTGCAGACACAGGGAGACAAAAAAAAACCCGTGTGAGCTGAGCTGCTCGCAAAGGAGTCAGCACGCCGGGGCTTCCAGATTCCTTCACCCCAGGATTGCTGGCCCACACCGCTGTTTTTCGGACGCTACTAAAAATGCTGGGAGCCGCCCAGGACGGTGGATGGCTTTTTTGGGGAGTGATGGCGTGTGGGAGACGGAGCGGAGACAGAGAGAGGCGAGTGATCTTGTTTATTCTGTGTGTTTGCGTGTGTCAGAGCGGGGCTGAAACTCTCCGCTACTCGCTGCCGGAGGAAATGGAGAGGGACTCCTTTGTCGCCAATATCGCCAAGGACCTGGGGGTTCCTCTGAGCCAGCTTGCGGCTCGCAAAGCCCGCGTTGTGTCCGAGGGCGACGAGCAGTTTTTCCGACTCAATCAAAACACCGGAGTCCTGACGGCAGAGGAATCGCTGGACCGAGAGGAGATCTGTCCTCAGAGCGATACCTGCACGCTAGTCTTTAAGATATTCTTTGAAAATCCGTTGCAGCTTATCCGAGGGGAGGTGGAAGTTCGTGACGTAAACGACAACTCGCCCGTGTTTCCGGAGAAGGAGATGGTTTTAAAAATTATAGAAACATCATCTCCTGGCTCCCGTTTCCCCCTGGAAAGCGCCCAGGACATGGACGTGGGCATTAACGGTTTGCAGAACTACAGCCTCGGGCCCAACCCTCATTTCTCCCTCGCTCTGGGAACAGGAAAAAATGGAGTAAAATACGTGGAGCTCGTCCTACAGCATCAGCTCGATCGTGAAGAGCAGGGAGAGCTGAATTTACTTCTGACCGCCACCGACGGGGGGTCACCACCCAGGTCCGGCACGGCTCAGATCCGGATCGTGGTGCTGGATGCCAATGATAACATTCCTGTCTTCGAAAGGGAGACCTACGAGGTGCGCCTGGCTGAGAACAGCCCCCTGGAGCAGCTGGTGGTCAGAGTCTCTGCCGAGGATCCCGACGAAGGGTCCAACGGGGACGTGCGTTATGCCTTTACCCAGACATCGGAGCGATCCCGGCAGCTCTTCCAGCTGAACCCGACCACCGGTGAAATACGAGTCGCGGGCAAGCTGGATTTTGAGGAAGCAAAATCCCACAAGATGGTGGTGAAAGCCACGGACGGCGGAGGGCTGTCTGCACATTGCAAAGTGCAGGTGGAGGTCCTGGACGTGAATGACAACGCCCCGGAGATAGCGCTCACCTCCCTCAGCGCCTCCATTCCCGAGGACGCCCCGCCACGCACCGTGGTGGCTCTGTTCAGTGTGCGGGACCGGGACTCCGGGGACAACGGCAGGACGGAGTGTTCCATCGACGGGGACTTGCCATTCAGTCTCACCCCCACTTTTGATAATTATTACGAACTGAGAACAAACGCTGCTCTGGATAGGGAGAGGACTGCGGAGTATAACATCACCATCACAGCCACGGACTGGGGCAGGAAGCGGCTGAGCTCTCAGGAAAGCATCTTCGTGCAGATATCCGATGTGAACGACAACCCCCCAGAGTTCACCCAGGAGATTTACACCATGTATGTCACGGAGAACAACAGCCCCATGCTCCGGATCGGCAGCATGAAGGCCACGGACGCCGACGCAGGAATAAATGCCCGTGTGAACTACGCACTGGTGCGGCAGGAGGGCAAAGAGCAGCCCGAAGTGTCAGTCAGCGCTGAAGACGGGGATGTTTATATCCTCCGCCCGCTGGACTACGAGAAGGTCCCTGCCTTGGAGGTGACAGTGCGCGCAGCCGACGGCGGCTCCCCGCCGCTCAGCGCCCAGGCCGTGCTGCGCATCGTCGTGCGGGACGAGAACGATAACGCGCCCGTGCTGCTGCACCCGGCCCCCGACAGCAGCGCGGCCGGAGAGCTGGTGCCGCGCTGGGCACCCTCCGGCTACCTGGTGGCCAAGGTGGTGGCGGTGGCCGCGGACGCGGGGCAGAACGCGTGGCTGTCCTACGAGCTGGCCAAGGCCACGGAGCCGGGGCTGTTCCGCGTGGGGCTGCACAGCGGCGAGGTGCGCACGGCGCGGGCCGTGACAGAGAGGGACGCGGCCCGGCAGAGGCTCATCGTGCTGGTGCGGGACCGCGGGCGGCCGCCGCGCTCTGCCACTGCCACCCTTGCCGTGGCACTGGTGGATGGCTTCTCCGAAGCCCATTTACGGGTGAGCGAGGAGGCACCGGCCGCCGAGCCCGACGAGCCGCTTACCCTTTACCTCATCGCCTCGCTGGTCTGCGTGTCGGCGCTGTTCCTCGCCACCGCAGTGACCGCCGTGGTAGTGAAGGTGCGGCGGGCCAGGCGGAGCGAGACGGAGACTTTGCCCACGTTCCCGACGACTGCCACGGAGAGCAGCGCGGGCTCCCTGCCCCGCAGCTACGTGTACGACGTCTGCTTCGCCGCCGGGACCGTCAACAGCGAGTTCCGTTTCCTCAGGCCGCTCTTCCCCTGCTTCCCCGCCGGGCTGCCCCCCGGCCCGGGCGAGCAGCGGAGCTCGGTGTGCTCGCAGGATGCGGCCAACCTCGGCGGCGAGGGCGACTGGACTGCGCAGGTGAGGGACTGACAGGGACATCGGGCAGGCGGGAGGGAGGTGTGGCAAGCCCTGGGAGTAAGGACTACTGAAGCTGCAGAATTGCTAGTGGAGGAGTGCCTGGGGTGGGAGGAGATGATAGAAGGCGTCTCAGAACTGCTGGAGAGGCCTCCCAGAAGGATCCAGTAGGGTTCAGCTGCTCCCTAAATGCTGACTAACCACGCCTCTCTACATCAGAGAAGGATAGAATATTTTGAGTTAGAATGGACTTTTAAAAGCCATTCAATCCAAACCCTTATGCCATGAGCACAAATACCTTAAACTAGATCAGGTTGCTCAGAGCTCCAGCCAACCTAACCTTGGCTATTTCCAGGGGTGGGGCACCCCCCACCTCTCTGGGCAGCTGGGCCCATGTCTATGCTAAGCATTTCTGATAGATCAAGTCTTTGATGTCACTTCAAAGGGGAGGAGTTGAGCCATGAGAAAGTGAAATTACAGGTAGAGATGTGTTATAGCTGAGATAGCCACAATACAAAGAGTATCACTATACAATTTCAGAAGGCTTCAAGCATCAGCCCATACACAATAACACCATACCACTCCAGAAGACTCCAAACGTGTGCCCTTCTTGTTCTTTAGCCCAACCTTTTATACCCTTCATTGTTCATGCATTGCACCTGTGTGCCCTCTCTACCTTTTTGTGCTTGGTCAGTGCACCTGGGCACGCCAGGTCTCATTACCCTCAGTACTGGTCACCTGTAGCCCATTAGGGATGAGGCTGGGCCACAGCCCCACTCCCAATTACCACACACCGTGCGCCTACAAACATGTGGGTCCTGCCCACCCACTGTGTAGAGCCTGTAGGACCTAGAGCAGTAATGGCACCATTCCCAGGGATATGTCCCTGGGAGTGGCAGTAACAGGAATGGCAGTAGTGGCCTGTCCAGCGTCAGATGGGACTGTGGGGACAGCTGTGCAAAGGGATGTCACCAGCAATGTTCTCTGCACTGCTGTTGGGAGCTAGCACTTGGTGCTCCCATGTGCCACTCACCAGGGTGGTGGTAGTGCTGAACTCAAGCTGTCTTCCAAACTGCTGGAGGCTGTGGAGGTGGGAACCTCTGCCATTAAATTCCCTTATGTTTTTGTGACTTGCATGGATAGTATTGGCCAGAAAAGTGTGGTTATCAAAGTCAGTCACCTCTTAGTATGGGATTCTGTGGGGACTCTCCATGGAGAGTTCCCAAGGATCCATCTAGCATTTCACAGTAGACAGGATGATAAACATATATGAGGTTGGAGGAACACAAACACCATCAGAGTCAGTTAATATTTTTGCATTTCATAACTACTGGTGACTTGGACTCACTTTACTGCAGGGTGTGGCAATCACAGTAGCTTCAGGGAAGATGAGGATTCTTCTTGATATATCAACATTAAACCACATTTACTGTTTGTGAGAAAGTGGTTTCTGTTTGGGGCTCTCACCATTTCGAATTACTCAAAACTCATAAAAGTTGTATAGAAACTCATTAAGGTTTTGTAATAGTACCTTTTTGGAGGATGGTTTCTGACTTCAGGTGTTCTCCATTCAGGAGATCCACCAAGTCTTGCTTTCTCTTTGGCTCTCGGTAGGGAGGAGAGGTGTGGCACAGGCAGTGGTGTAAGGCACATCCTCTAAGCTTCTCGGTGACTAAGCTTGCTTTCCTTCAACTCCAAATGACAGCTGCTCTCTCTGTTCTTTGCAGGGCAGTGCTCCCGTCTCTGAAGATACGGGGCCCAGAGCTGCAGGTGCAGTTTGCCCTGCAAACAGGGAGCTGGAGCTAAATGTCAGTTCTGAGCAAAACCCTTGGCTCGCCCATCAATAAGTGAAGAGAAAGACAAGTTTGTCTGTCCTCCCAGGGAAAAGGGAACAAAGAGGCCAAACACATCTGTAAAAAGTACCAGGGAGATTAAACCTTCTCTGTGAGAGTACTTTCCCCTTGAGCAGTACTTTATTCATGTAGGTATTTTGTAATTGTGCTGTCGATGGAGGAGGAGAACCGTGCTGCATGTTGATTACATAATAATGTATGATTGTGAGAGTGCTACTGCTTCTACATACTTTGAGAAATACTGAAAACTGTCAGTAGGTGTTTAACTTCTTGTTACACCGCCTTCTCGGGGGGGGGGGGGGGGGGGTCTTTTTTTTTTTTTTTTTTTTTTCTTTTTGTGGGGTTTATTTTGTTTTTGTTTTTTTTTGGTTTTTTTTTTGTTTGTTTGGTGGGGTTTTTTGGGTTTTTTTTTTTTGTTTTGTTTTTTTTGGGGTTTTTTTTTGGGTTTTTTTTTGTGTTTTTTTTTTGTTTTTTTGTTTTTTGTTTTTTTTTTATGGAGAGAGCTTTGTAATAATATCTTAATTTTCTGCCGTGTATTCAACACCAGACAAAACAGATATTATACAAAATTAAGTGGTGGTTGCAAAGGAATTTCTTACAAAATAAGCAGAAGCTGTTTACATTTTGAACTGCTGGCATTGGCACACCTGGCATATTTGACCAGGAGCTTACAGGCTCTCATAATGGTAAAGAGTGGGCTTTGAGCAGTGTATTCTTTCTTCCTTTCTTTTTTTCCACAAAGTTGAAAAGACCATTTCACGTTTTTTAAAAACCAAGATAATTAAAAGTAGTTTGTAGCTTTGTTTGTAGTTTTTCAGTAAAATAGACGAATCCATTTACAATTAGCTTACGACACTATAGGGTGTCAAGGAGCATTCTGGTTTTCCGGATTTCTTTCCTCAGTCGGTATTAAACTGTGAAGTAACGTGGTAATTCCTCTAGTTGAACCATTTTAAAGAGTCAAATGAGTGATGACAGAAAACAATAAAATCTACTTGGAACTCCCTCGGGTGAGTGTGCTTTCTCGAGATCACTTGCCACCGTCATCGCCAACGAAAAAGCCAACTCAATAGCAAGATTTCGGGAATAAATCCGTGTATCTGGAGTGGAATTTATGCAAGGGAAATCAGAACGACCTGAGAAATAGGATGGTCTCAGAAGTCGGAGCAAGGTAGAGGAGTTTTTTTCTGAGCGGAGCTGAGGTCTGAGATGCTGCCTTCAGCCCATTCCCAAAGGCTCCCAGCAGGAGAAGTCATAAACTGCGGGAACAATCTCTGTCCATTCCGAGAACGACTTTGGCGATTCCTGCTGTGGTTAAAAGACCACCTCACCTGGTGGCAGGACCCCTGTAGCAATACATGTTCTAGCTGAACAACCGGAGAGTAATTTATTCAAAGCGTTCACACTGGGGGCAAGGGATGGGGAACCAAAACAAAAGGAACAACCCAGCTCTAAATAAACTTAATTTTGAAGTAGAAGGCAAACAGAGGCTTTGATCATTCAAGCAGTGGCCATACTTCAAATACGGTTGTATGGACATTTAAATATCTATGCTTTGACCTAGGAAGAGAGAAAACGAGCCGTTAATCTCTGCTTTCCAGGCTTTGTGGTGGGAAATCTTGGAATCCTTCTGCAGATCGGCCGCCTGGTGCCGCTGCTGACCGCGGGAGCTCCGCGCAGCTCCCAGTTCCGCCGAACCCGCGATTCGGGCGGGCGGGCGGGGGGGACTGCACCATTTCGGGCTGCTCCGCTCGGGGGTCGGCAGGCTGTATCGGCAGCTCCATCCAGCTTACAGGAGAGGAGATCGGGTCTCTGGAAGGGAATGAAACCGAGGAAGAGCGTGGAACCGCTCCCGGGGCGAGCAGGCGCTCTGATCCTTGTCCTCTGCCTCTCGGGGATGGGAGCAGAAACCGCTCGGTACTCTGTGCCCGAAGAGGCGGAGAGAGGCTCTTTTGTGGCGAATATCGCTAAGGATTTGGGACTAACCGGTGAGGAATTATTGGCTCGTCAGGCTCGAGTCGTTCCTGAAGGAGAAAAGCAGTATTTACAGCTGAACCAGCACACCGGGGATTTGGTGGTGAGAGAGCAAATGGACCGGGAAGAGCTGTGTGGACAGAGCGAGCCCTGCTTGGTGCGCTTTCAGGTGCTGCTGGAGAGCCCACTGCAGTCCTTCCGAGCTGAGGTAAGACTCACCGATATAAATGATCATGCTCCTGTGTTCTTAAACAAAGAGATTGTTTTAAAGATCTCGGAGTCGACAGTGCCGGGGACTCGTTTTTTGTTGGAAAGCGCTCATGATCCAGACGTAGGGAACAATAGTCTTCAGCATTATAGTATCAGCTCGAACGAGTATTTCTTTGTCTACACCCGGCGGCGGAGTGACGGCAGGAAGTACGCAGAGCTGGTGTTGGATCGAGCTCTGGATCGGGAGCGGCAGGCAGAAGTTGCTTTCAGCATCACGGGTGTGGATGGTGGGACTCCACCGCGGTCTGGCACAGCTTTAATCCTCATAATAGTCCTGGATATAAACGACAACAGCCCAGTATTTACTCGAAGTCTGTATAAAGTCTCCGTAATGGAAAATAGCTCACAGGACACCATAGTGGCCGTAGTGTCTGCTAGCGATTCAGACGCAGGAACGAATGGGGAAATAGTGTATTCCATCGTTCAAAATTCAGAGGAAAATTTCGAGACATTTAAAATAAACCCAAAGACAGGTCAGATTCGACTTAAAAAGGCTTTGGATTATGAAGAAACAAAAACCTACGAGATAGACGTTCAGGCCTTAGATGGAGGGGGCCTGTCCACGCATTGCAAGGTGGAGGTGCAGGTGAAGGATGTGAACGACAATGCCCCCGAGGTGATCGTCACCTCGCTCACCAGCACCCTCTCAGAAGCCGCCCCGCCGGATACCGTGGTGGCCCTCTTCAACGTCAGGGACCGGGACTCGGGGGACAATGGCAGGACGACCTGCGAGCTGATGGGAGAGCAGCCCTTCAGGATCACTCTGCTGGCAGCCGACGCGTACGCGCTGGTGACATCAGAGATGCTGGACCGGGAGCAGGTGGAGGAATACAACGTGACAGTGCGAGCTCGAGACGAGGGCTCCCCCGTCCTCTCGGCATCCAAGAACCTGCTCGTGCGGCTCTTTGATGTGAACGACAACGCACCCACCTTCACACAGGCCATTTACACCATGGTGATGAGCGAAAATGAGCCCGCGGGGAGGAGCCTGGGCCGCCTCAGTGCCACGGACCCTGACGCGGGAGAGAACGCCCGTGTCAGATACTCGCTAGTGCCGCCACTGACAGGCACCCTCACCGCGGCATCATTCGTGTCAGTGGACGCGGAGAGTGGAACTGTCCGGAGTTTGCGCCCACTGGACTACGAGAAGGTCCCTGCCTTGGAGGTGACAGTGCGCGCAGCCGACGGCGGCTCCCCGCCGCTCAGCGCCCAGGCCGTGCTGCGCATCGTCGTGCGGGACGAGAACGATAACGCGCCCGTGCTGCTGCACCCGGCCCCCGACAGCAGCGCGGCCGGAGAGCTGGTGCCGCGCTGGGCACCCTCCGGCTACCTGGTGGCCAAGGTGGTGGCGGTGGACGCGGACGCGGGGCAGAACGCGTGGCTGTCCTACGAGCTGGCCAAGGCCACGGAGCCGGGGCTGTTCCGCGTGGGGCTGCACAGCGGCGAGGTGCGCACGGCGCGGGCCGTGACAGAGAGGGACGCGGCCCGGCAGAGGCTCATCGTGCTGGTGCGGGACCGCGGGCGGCCGCCGCGCTCTGCCACTGCCACCCTTGCCGTGGCACTGGTGGACGATTTCTCCGATGCCTTCCACCAGCTTGGCCACGATCCTGCGAGCGGACAGCAGCCGCAGATGGCCGAGGAGGAAATGCTCACCACTTACCTCATTGCCTCCTTGTGCTGCGTTTCATCCCTTTTCCTCTTGTCCGTCCTCGTCTTAACGGCGAACACCCTCTGCAAAGCTCGCGTCCGGGCAGAGCTTCCTCCTCCCTCTCCCAGATGCTACGCGGACGGAGATTTCGCCAGCGACGGCTTGGGCGTGGGCAGCACGGGCACTCTGTCGCCGGCTTACCGCTACGAAATGTGTATGACCAGCGGCTCGGGGAGGAGCGAATTCCGGTTCCTAAGACCCATCCTGCCCAGCCTTCATAGCAATGCTGAGGCGGGGCTGGACAAGGACGAGGAGCCGCTACGACACTCGCAGCCTGCCTGCGACCGGGAAGCCCAGGCGGGGAGAACAGCCACTCCTCCGTTTTAGCCGCAAGGCTGGCCAGTAGGCGTGCGCGTCCCTGCCTGAGCCGTGCTGGAATGCGATTCCCTTCCCCAACTTCATCCTGAGATTCCCCACTAGTTGTAGTGCCGTTCGCTGCTGTTATAGGCGTACTCTCCCTGCTTAGACTCCAGGCCAGTTTCTCCTGCCGTGGAAGGCAGCTCAGTCCCTCCGAGTTCAGCATCCGATTCATGCTTCCCTAGAAAATCCTTGTGCCGCTCTTGCCACGGCGTTTCTCGGAGGGTGCATACTCGCCTGTCGCTAGACGACCGCGCACCAAGCCGCAGGCTCGGGACAGCAAGGGGCGAGGACGGACGCGGAGGAACTGCCGGTGATGCTCTGGTACCAAGACTCCCCCAAAACGAGTCCCTAGCATTTCCCTTCCCAGAGGATGTGTCCTACCGCAGGAGGCCCAGCTCGTGAGCGCGGCTCCGCGGGCCGGGGCGAGCGGCAGCGCGGGCTGCGGGCGGCGGCGGCTGCAGTGCCAGCGCGCACCGCTGGGTGGTGCCCTCGGCCAAGGCGGCGCCGAGCGGCTGCGGCAGCGGAGGCGGCCGAGCCCGGAGCGGCAGAGCCCGAGCGAGCTCGGCCCGGCCCGGCCCGGCCCAGCCCAGCCCAGCCCAGCCCAGCCCAGCTCAGCTCAGCCCAGCTCAGGTCCTTTCAGCTTAGAGCAGCCCAGCGCAGCCGGGCGGAGGTGGCAGCGGCTGCGGCAGCGAGCGCTGCCCCGTGTCACCCGCTGCCGGGACACCCCGGCTGCGTTACGGAGCGCCGGCCGCAATCGCAGAGAGCGAGCGAGGGAAGGCGCCCGCCCCGCACTTCGCCGCTTTCGGCGGGGAATCGCCCGGGACACCCGCCGGCAGACCCACACCGGCCGCCGCCGCCGCGCCATGGCGCTCGCAAGGCAAGTGCTTTGTCTCTCTGCTTTCCTGTCGCTGCCGCTCGCTCGCGCCGAGCCCATCCGCTACTCCGTAGCCGAGGAGGCGGAAAGCGGCTCCCTGGTGGGCAAGCTGGCGGAGGATGCGGGGCTGACGCCGGCGCAGCTCTCGGCTCGCCGCGCCCGCCTGGTCTCGGAGGACGGCCGGCAGCATTTTCGCTTCGAGCGCGCCTCCGGCCGCCTCGTCGTGGCGGGGAGGCTGGACCGGGAGGAGCTGTGCGGCCAGTCCGCCACCTGCATGCTCCCCTTCGAGCTGCTGCTCTCCAGCCCCCTGCAGTTCTTTCGGGTCGAGGTGGCTCTCGAGGACATCAATGACCATTCTCCCGTCTTCCCCGAGGATCGACTCACTTTTAAGATCCCTGAAACAAGCGAATCGGGATCACATTTCCCGTTGGAGGAGGCTCAGGATCTCGATATTGGCAGCAACACAGTTCAGGCGTACAGCATCTCTCCCGAGAACGAGTACTTTAGTGTCTCCTATGGGACTGGGATTACTGGCAAGAAGTATCTTGAATCTGTTTTAGAAAAGCCACTAGACAGGGAGAAGCAGGCAGAGATGGATTTAACTCTCATTGCTGTAGATGGAGGCTCTCCTCCCAGGAGTGGGGCCACCGAAATCCATGTTGTCATTCTAGATGTAAATGACAATGCCCCTATATTCACACAGGAAGAGTACAAAGGACAGATTCTGGAGAACATGCCAGAAGGCTCTGTGGTACTGACTGTGCTAGCAAGTGATAAGGATGCAGGAGTTAATGGGGACATTTCCTATCAACTCATCCAAGCACTAGGTCAGAGTGACTCAGCGTTTGTGATTGATCCCAAAACGGGTGAAATTAAACTCACAAAGCCTCTGGACTTCGAGGCAGCAGAGCATCATGAACTCCTGGTGAGGGCCACAGATGGAGGGGGCCTGTCAGCAATCTGCAAAGTGTTGGTGGAGGTGGTGGATGTGAATGACAACGCCCCAGAGCTGGTGGTCAGTTCCTTCAGCAGTCCCCTCCCGGAGAACACAGTGCCCGGCACGGTGGTTGCCCTGTTTACGGTCAGGGACCGGGATTCTGGTGCCAACGGGAAGATCTCCTGTGCCCTGGAGGATCAGCTCTCCTTCTCCCTGCGGCCAGCCTATAAGAATTACTATGAGCTGGTGACAGTGAGCGCGCTGGACCGCGAGGAGACGCCTCAGTACATCCTCAGTGTCACGGCAGCAGATGCGGGCTCGCCTCCTCTCACCAGCACGCAGACCTTCACCGTGGACATCTCGGATGTCAATGACAACGCGCCCGTCTTCAACCAGACCTCCTACAGCATGTACGTGCGTGAGAACAGCGTGCCCACGGTGTTTGTGGGAGCCGTGAGCGCTGCAGACGCTGACGTGGGGCTCAATGCCAAGGTGACCTATTCCCTGGCCCCAGAGCAAGGGGCAGGGCGGGCCTGGTGCTCCTGCATCTCTGTGGACTCGGAGAAGGGACACGTGTTTGTGCTGCGGCCCCTGGACTACGAGCACTTGAGGCAGACCGAGGTGACGGTCAGTGCCTCTGACGCGGGCTCTCCTCCCCTGAGAGCCAACGTCAGCGTGCGCCTGGTCGTGCTGGACGAGAACGACAACGCCCCGCTCGTGCTCTACCCAGCCCAGGACGGCAGCCCGGCCTCCAGTGAGCTGGTGCCCGTGTCGGCCGAGGCGGGCTACCTCATCAGCAAAGTGGTGGCCGTCGATGCCGACTCGGGGCAGAACTCCTGGCTCTCGTACCACCTGCTGAGGGCCAGCGACCCAGGGCTGTTTTCCGTGGGCCTCCAAAGCGGGGAGGTGCGTCTGAGGAGGCCGGTGACAGAGAGAGACAGCGTGAAGCAGAAGCTCGTTGTCCTGGTCAGAGACAACGGCAAGCCCCCGCTGTCAGCCACGGCAGCTCTGAGCGCTCTGCTGCTCAAGGACTTCTCAGACGTGCGCCTGCCGCACAGCAGCCCGGCCACCGAGGATCAGGGCGGCTCCCTGACCACCTACTTGATCATTTCCCTGGTCTTTGTCTCACTGCTCTTCCTCATCTCCACCGCAGTCTTGGTCGCTCGCAAGGCGTGCAGGAGGAAGGAGCTGAAGGCTGGCCCTGTGCTTTATGCTGCCGACACCTTGCAGAGCGGCCTGGCCGATGCAGCCGCTGCAGGGACCCTGCCCCGCGCCTATTGCTACGAGATCAGCCTGACCACGGGCTCGGGCAACAGCGAGTTCAAATTCCTCAAGCCCATCCTGCCCAGCCTGCCCCCTCAGCACTGCGCCGTGGGCCAGGGCCCGGATGAGGAACAGGATTTCCCCAGTGTCCCTGTCAGCACCGAGGACATGGCCCCAGGCAATGCTGGGGCTCTCTCTGCGGGACAGTTCAACGCTCTTTCCTTTAACTAGCTGGGGTCTGCACAGACAGAGGTTTCAATACTCATGGAAGGAGGGGATCCAGGCTGATACTTGTGATAGTGATTCATCCAGAGTATATCTGTATGTGTGATTGGTTTAACCCATTTCCTGCATATTCTATTCAGAATTAACATCTACCACTCCTAAATCTATTAGAGAAATAAAAGATGCCAAGGTTGTCTCAAAGCCCATCCTGCCCAGCCTGCCCCCTCAGCACTGCGCCGTGGGCCAGGGCCCGGATGAGGAACAGGATTTCCCCAGTGTCCCTGTGAGCACTGAGGACATGGCCCCAGGCAATGCTGGGGCTCTCTCTGCGGGACAGTTCAACGCTCTTTCCTTTAACTAGCCTGGGTTTTGTGGAGTCAGAGGTTTCAATAGACATGGAAGGAGGGGATCCAGGCTGATACTTGTGGTAGTGATTCATCCAGAGTATATCTGCATGTGTGATTTGTTTTACCCATTTCCTGCATATTCTATTCAGAATTAACATCTACCACTCCTAAAGCTATTAGGGAAATAAAAGATGCCAAGGTTATCTCACTAAGTTTGTTATGGGTTTCTGCTCTGCTATGGCCATTTTGCAGTCTCCGCTATTTTCTGCTTTCTCCTGCTATCTGTCAAGACAGAGGATCTTTTTATTCTGAGGTTTAGAACAATGTCACTGTTGGCCATACAAATAATATCCTCACTGAAATGCGAAAAGGCCCTTTTTGAGCTTCAGGAAAGTAAGGAAGTTGTGGCTATTGAGTCACTGTATTATGTGTGCACTGGGGCTTTACTTCCCTGGGATCTGGATGTCCCTTTTAGAGATGTGAGCTCTGTGTGCAGACAGTGAATATCTGCAGATGCTTCAGAATTATGGCCTGGTGAAGCAGGGGGCTGCTCCCACCCAGCCATTGCAGCACAGGCCATGCCAGCTCAGCAGGGAAGGAGGTGTTTGGATCTTTTGGCAACAGCAGTCTCATCATCCTACTCAACACACAGTGTTAGGGTAGACTGCACCTGAACAGAGTTGTAGAAACATGTTAATTGTTGTTGAATGCATTGAAGGAAAACTCCATAAATACTAAAAGCTAATTATTGAGAGGAAGAGTAAAGAAGAACTTGAAAATAATCAATGAGATTGGTCTTTTCATTGTTGCTCCTGAATCCCAAGGCTTCTTAATGGGACTAGAAAGCTGTCCCTGCATGATTTTCTGTGTTTGTGTCAAAGCATTTGAATTCCCATGTTTGCTCTTTCTCCACTGCAATGGACTGAGTACTGTGCTGAGCCTGTCCCTCTAGAGAAGGACTGCCACCCCATCTAGAATAACTGGTTGTTTGAATGATATCTGTGATGCATGAAATAATCAGAAAGACTCCCTGCACTGTGACGTGCTGAAGTGATACAGTTTAACATTGTATATCGGTATAACTGTGGGATTAGAAACTGAAAAATTGTCTTAGACTGAAATAAATAGAACACTTGACTTCTTTAGTGGAGACAGAATTTTTTTAGAGACATTAGAACTTGAAAATAATCAATGAGATTGGTCTTTTCATTGTTGCTCCTGAATCCCAAGGCTTCTTAATGGGACTAGAAAGCTGTCCCTGCATGATTTTCTGTGTTTGTGTCAAAGCATTTGAATTCCCATGTTTGCTCTTTCTCCACTGCAATGGACTGAGTACTGTGCTGAGCCTGTCCCTCTAGAGAAGGACTGCCACCCCATCTAGAATAACTGGTTGTTTGAATGATATCTGTGATGCATGAAATAATCAGAAAGCCTCCCTGCACTGTGATGTGCTGAAGTGATACAGTTTAACATTGTATATCGGTATAACTGTGGGATTAGAAACTGAAAAATTGTGTTAGACTGAAATAAAGAGAACACTTGACTGCTTTAGTGGAGACAGAATTTTTGTAGAGACATTACTTCTGGGAAAGCGTCGTCAAGGCTTTTCAAAATTCTGCGAGTTGCTTTCGCGCTGTGTCCCTTGTCTGAAGCAGTGTTGGGTGGGTAGAGTCCCTGAACGTGGAGATGCAGCCGGGAGAGTGTTAATAGGCATGCCCCTGCTGTAACCATCTGCCAGTCTCTGCTATGTTTCTTCTGCTGAGGCATGGGGCTCTGTCCTCCTGGACTCCACGTTGTCTTTGGGCTGGGCCAGGGCCCGGATGAGGAACAGGATTTCCCCAGTGTCCCTGTCAGCACCGAGGACATGGCCCCAGGCAATGCTGGGGCTCTCTCTGCAGGACAGTTCAACGCTCTCTCCTTTAACTAGCTGGGGTCTGCCGAGTCACAGGTTTCATGGCCCATGCATGTAGGCGATCCAGTCTGCAGCATGTGGCAATGATTCCTCCAGAAAAAATTTTTATTTTCAATTAGTGTAACCAATTTTCTCCTAATTCTATTTCTAATGAATATCTGCCACTCCAAAAACAGTGAAACAAGTCAAAGAAGCCAAGGTTCTCTGATTTAGTTTGTCATGGGTTTCCATTTTGTTACTGCAATTTCTAATGAGGTTTAACTACATGGTTTGCGCTCACTCACTCAGCTATGCCCCTGTTTCTCTTGGTGTCTGAAAAGACTGAGGAACATTTTATCCAGAGGATTAAAACCATGCCTGGCTGCCGCACAAAGTATATACTCACTGATAAGGAAAAAGCACTTTTTGCCCTTCAGGAAAGCAAGGATGCCATGACAGCTGAGTCACAATATCATGTGAGCACTAGTTCCTTTCTTCCTGGGATTCTGGATGCCTCTGTCTGAGATGTGAACTCTGTGTGCTTTGCTTTCTTGTCACTATGTTTGTACATGCAGACATTGAATATCTGCAGATGCCTCAGTAGTGCTGCCTGGTGGAGCTGGGAGTTGCTCCCACCCAGCCACAGCGGCACAGACAGTGCCAGCTCACCAGGGAAGGAGGTGATTTGGACCCTTTCAAAAGAGCAGTCTCATCTTCCTTATCTAGCTTACAGTAGAGCAACTAAATGCTCAAAAAAAAATCTTCCTTTTGCTTATAAGAAGGGTTTGGGTGTTCTGTCACCTCAGGATTGCCTCGGAAATGCAGCAGCACAAACAGTGTTAGGGTAGACTGTAATTGAATGGAGCAGTACAAACATGATCATTGTCTTTAGCTGCATTGAAGGAAAAATCCATAAATTCTACAAGACATTTATTGGAAGGTAGAGTCAAGAGGAACTTAAAAAAAAAAAAAAAAAGACATTAAGTGTGGTCTTTCCAGCTTTGATCCTGAATACAAAGTTTATGAAGGGATTGGAAAGCTGTCCCCACATGATTTTCTCTGTTTGTGTCAGAGCATTTTCGTTCCCATGTTTGCTCTTTCTTCTCTGAAATGGACTGAGCACTGTGCTGAGCCTGTTCCTCTAGAGAAGGACTGCCACCCCATCTAGAATAACTGGTTGTTCGAGTGATGTCAGTGATGCATGAAATATTCAGAAAACCTCCCTCGCACTGTGATGTGCCGAACTGATACAGTTCAACAGTGTAAATTGGTATAACTGTGGGATTAGAAACTGAAAAATTGTGTTAGACTGAAATAAAGAGAACACTTGACTGCTTTAGTGGACACAGAATTCTTTGAAGAGACGTTCTTTCTGGGAAACCTTCGTCAAGACCTTTCAAAACTGCCCGAGTTACTTTCGCACTGTGTCCCTTGACAAAAGCAATGTTGTGTGGGTACAGCTCCATAGTGTGGAGATGCGGCCGCTAGAGTGTTCATTGACATGCCCGTGCTGTCACCACCGCCCTATCCCTCTGTGATTTCCCCAGCTGAGGGATGAGGCTCTGCCCATCGGGGCGGAGCCTCGTCTTTATGCTGCCCTGGTTACCGCGGCGCTCCGTTCCCGGCCCCGGTGTCTCGGTGGGTTGAATCCCGGAAACAAGCGACCCCGGCTCTCGTTTCCCTTTGGAAGGTGCTCAGGATCTCGATATTGGCAGCAATACAGTACAGAAGTACAAAATTGCTCCCGAAAATGAGTATTTCAGTGTCTCCTATGGGAGTCGTACTGAGGATGACAAATATGTAGAACTTGTTTTGGAAAAGCCACTAGACAGAGAGGATCAGGCAGAGATGGGTTTCAGTGTCATTGCTGTGGATGGGGGCTTTCCTCCTAGAAGTGGGACCATCGAGATCTCTGTTATCATTCTAGATGTGAATGACAATGCTCCCTTATTCACACAAGAGCGTTATATTGCAAAGGTTCTGGAGAACATGCCAGAAGGCTCTGTGGTTCTGACTGTGTTGGCAACTGATCCGGATGCAGGAGTTAATGGGGACATCTCATATCAACTCATTGAAGTGGTTGGTCACAGTGAGTCAGCATTTGTGATTGATCCCATAGCTGGTGAAATTAAACTCACAAAACCTCTGGACTTTGAGGCAGGTGACACTCACGAACTCCGTGTGAGAGCCACAGATGGAGGAGGCCTGTCAGCAATGTGTAAGGTGTTAGTGGAGGTGGTGGATGTGAATGACAACGCCCCAGAGCTGGTGGTCAGTTCCTTCAGCAGTCCCCTCCCTGAGAACACAGTGCCCGGCACGGTGGTTGCCCTGTTTACGGTCAGGGACCGGGATTCTGGTGCCAACGGGAAGATCTCCTGTGCCCTGGAGGATCAGCTCTCCTTCTCCCTGCGGCCAGCCTATAAGAATTACTATGAGCTGGTGACAGTGAGCGCGCTGGACCGCGAGGAGACGCCTCAGTACATCCTCAGTGTCACGGCAGCAGATGCGGGCTCGCCTCCTCTCACCAGCACGCAGACCTTCACCGTGGACATCTCGGATGTCAATGACAACGCGCCCGTCTTCAACCAGACCTCCTACAGCATGTACGTGCGTGAGAACAGCGTGCCCACGGTGTTTGTGGGAGCCGTGAGCGCTGCAGACGCTGACGTGGGGCTCAATGCCAAGGTGACCTATTCCCTGGCCCCAGAGCAAGGGGCAGGGCGGGCCTGGTGCTCCTGCATCTCTGTGGACTCGGAGAAGGGACACGTGTTTGTGCTGCGGCCCCTGGACTACGAGCACTTGAGGCAGACCGAGGTGACGGTCAGTGCCTCTGACGCGGGCTCTCCTCCCCTGAGAGCCAACGTCAGCGTGCGCCTGGTCGTGCTGGACGAGAACGACAACGCCCCGCTCGTGCTCTACCCAGCCCAGGACGGCAGCCCGGCCTCCAGTGAGCTGGTGCCCGTGTCGGCCGAGGCGGGCTACCTCATCAGCAAAGTGGTGGCCGTCGATGCCGACTCGGGGCAGAACTCCTGGCTCTCGTACCACCTGCTGAGGGCCAGCGACCCAGGGCTGTTTTCCGTGGGCCTCCAAAGCGGGGAGGTGCGTCTGAGGAGGCCGGTGACAGAGAGAGACAGCGTGAAGCAGAAGCTCGTTGTCCTGGTCAGAGACAACGGCAAGCCCCCGCTGTCAGCCACGGCAGCTCTGAGCGCTCTGCTGCTCAAGGACTTCTCAGACGTGCGCCTGCCGCACAGCAGCCCGGCCACCGAGGATCAGGGCGGCTCCCTGACCACCTACTTGATCATTTCCTTGGTCTTTGTCTCACTGCTCTTCCTCATCTCCACCGCAGTCTTGGTCGCTCGCAAGGCGTGCAGGAGGAAGGAGCTGAAGGCTGGCCCTGTGCTTTATGCTGCCGACACCTTGCAGAGCGGCCTGGCCGATGCAGCCGCTGCAGGGACCCTGCCCCGCGCCTATTGCTACGAGATCAGCCTGACCACGGGCTCGGGCAACAGCGAGTTCAAATTCCTCAAGCCCATCCTGCCCAGCCTGCCCCCTCAGCACTGCGCCGTGGGCCAGGGCCCGGATGAGGAACAGGATTTCCCCAGTGTCCCTGTGAGCACTGAGGACATGGCCCCAGGCAATGCTGGGGCTCTCTCTGCGGGACAGTTCAACGCTCTTTCCTTTAACTAGCCTGGGTTTTGTGGAGTCAGAGGCTTCATGGCTCTTGGGAGGAGGGGATCTAGGCTGATACATGTGGCAATGTTTCCTCCAGAATTAATCAGTGGTTGCACTTTGTTAATCCATCTTTTTTCATATTCTCTTCAGAATGAACACAGCTATCCCCTCTAAAGAACAATGATGGGGGTAAAAGGATCCAAGGTTCTCTCACTTATTTAGTGATTTGTTTCAGCTCTGTTACTGCCATTTCTGACAGGTTTTATGTATTTTGTTAGCATTCACAGCTATGTTCCTCTTTGTCTTGCTCTTTGAAAAGTTGTAGGATGTTTTTATTCTGACCTTTAAACAATGGCACAATTGGCCAGACAAATCATATCCCCACTGCAAAAAAGCAAATAAAAGGCAAAAAGCCCTTTTTGCGCATCAGGAAAGCAAGGATGTTGTGAGTACTGAGATGCTATGTCACGTGGCGCTAGACCCTTTCTTCCCTGGATTCTGGATGTCTCTGCCTGAGATGTGCTCTCTCTGTGCTTTGCTTTCCTGTCGCTGTGACAGACAAGATATACTTGTTCATTCAGACACTCCATATCTGCAGATGCTTCAGCAGTGCTGCCTGGTGAAGCAGGGAGTTGCTCCCACCCGGCCATTGGAGCACAGGCAGCTCCAGCTCAGCAGGGAAGGAGGGATTTGGGCCCTTTGACAACAGCAGTCTCGTCTTTCTTAAAGCAGCAAGAAAATGCACAACAAAACCTTCCTTTGGCTTACAAGAAGGACTTGGGTGTTCTGTCACCTCAGCATTGCCTTGGAAATACAGCAGCACAAGCAGTGTTAGGGTAGACTGTAACTGAACTGAGCTCTACAAACATGTTCATTGTGATTGAATGCATTGAAGGAAAAATCCACAAATACTGAAACACTATTATGGGAAGGTGGAGTCAAGAAGTGTTGGGAAGGATGAAAGTTTGACAAGAAAGTCTCACAGATATTTATGCTTGGCAGAAAGGTTTTGGAATGTAGACTCTGGAGAATGAGTAGAAATGAAAGCAAGTTTTGATATAGAAGTAAAGAATTGCTGAGCCAGTATTTCAGGATAACAAAAAGGCAAAGGGTATGTTAGTTAGAAGTGGGTTTTTATGGCTTAGAGCAAAGCATAAACCCACTTCAAACAGAAGATGTTTTTACCAAGCAGAAAGATAGCACAGGCAAACAGACTTGTAGACATTGCAAGTGGAAAAAAGGTCTCAGAAATTTCCACTGCAATAAAACTGAAGAACAACTTCTAGCTTAAACTGTAACTTTTAGTGGTTGGATATTAGTAACAGGAATATGGTAATTATAGTAGTTATGATAGGTTGTAGATAAAAGTTAAGATATAGATTGATTCTTATGTATTAAGATGCTCAGCAAAGAAAAGTATATAACGCATTGGAACCAAAATTAAAGGGTCTTTGGGCTTGTCTGGAGCTGGAGGCAACAGCTGTAGGCAGAGCTTCCACTGGCCACGAACCTGGACTGCTGAAACATCTTCAATACAATAAACTGCATTTTGAAGAACCACCTGGAGTCCTGCAACTCTCATTCAGGCACTTACTAAGAAGAACTTTAAAAAAAAAAAAAAACGACGCTCAGAGTGGTCTTTTCATTGCTTTCCCTGAATCCCAAGACTACTTGATGAGACTAGAAATCTGTCCCAGCATGATTTTCTGTGTTTGTGTTAGAGCATTTGCATTCCCATTTTTACCTTTTCTCCTCTAAAATGTACTGAGCACTGTGCTGAGCCTGTTCCTCTAGAGAAGGACTGCCAGCCCATCTGGAATAACTGGTTGTTTGAATGATGTCTTGGATGCATGAAGTACACGAAAAGCCTCCCTCATGCTGTGAGGTTCTGAAGTGATATGCTTTTATGTTGTAAATTCCTGTAAATCTGGGATTAGAAACTGAAAAAATGTGTTAGACTGAAATAAAGAGAACACTTGACTGATTTAGTGGAGACAGAAAGCTTTGAAGAGACGTTCTTTGTGGGAAAGCCCTGTCAAGACTTTCCAAAATTCTGCGTGTTATTTCTCAGTGTCGCTTGACAGAAACAGTGTTGTGTGGGTTCAGTGCCTGAGCGTGGAGATGTATCCGGAACAGTGTTCATCAGCATGGCCGTGCTGTAACCATCGTCCTATCTCTGTGCTGTTTGGAAACGAGCGAGCCTGGCTCTCGTTTCCCTTTGGAGGTTGCTCGGGACCTCGATATTGGCAGCAACACAGTTCAGGCATACAGCATCTCTCCTGAGAACGAGTATTTCAGTGTCTCCTATGGGAGTCGGACTGACGATGACAAATATCTTGAACTTGTTTTGGAAAAGCCACTAGACAGGGAGAAGCAGGCAGAGATGGGTTTCAGTGTTATTGCTGTGGATGGGGGCTCTCCGCCTAGAAGCGGGACCATCGAGATCTCTGTTATCATTCTAGATGCAAATGACAATGCTCCAGTATTCACGCAAGAGCGTTATAATGCAAAGATTCTGGAGAACATGCCAGAAGGCTCTGTGGTTCTGACTGTGCTAGCAACTGATCCGGATGCAGGAGTTAATGGGGAAATTTCCTATCAACTCAATGAAGCAGCTCACCAGAGTGACTCAGCATTTGTGATTGAT